TACGGGTTGGACAAGCTTCTACCCAACCTGAGTAGGTACACACAGCTAACAACAGATAACTATATCCTCCAGATTTAGGCATCACTGTAAAATCTATTTGCAGATCTGACATGGGGAGTCCTCCCATATACTGGACTCCAGGAGGTTTAACAGGGCCTTGTCTTGCGTTGTTCTTTGCACACAGAACACATCTTCGAACAATGACTTGAATAAGATTGGATAATCTTGGTATATAGAAATGTTTATTCCATACTATCTCTTCCTGCATGTGTACTATTGTGGAAGTTCTGAACAATCTCTATAGCCAGAGATGTCGGAATGACTATTTTTCCATCTTCTAACTGATACCAATTGTTCTCCAAATATTTTCCTGCCTCAGTCTTCAACCACTCTATCTCTTGAGTTGTATAAACCAGAGTCCATTGAGACAAAGGGGTTGGCACAAGGGCAGCGACGTACCCCACATATTCCTCCTGTCCAGATTCAGCAGCACACTTAGCCGCACTATCTGCCATGTGATTTCCTCTTACCACATCACTATCGCCTCTCAGATGTGCTCTACAATGTATAATACCGACCTCCTTTGGCTCCCATACTGCTTCCAAGAGTTGAAGAATTTCAACTGCATACTTAATTTCTTTCCCTTCCGAATTCAGCAACCCTCTTTCTTTATACAAGGCTCCATGGGCATGAGTGGTTAAAAATTCATATTTTGAATCAGTATATATGTTCACCTTCAACCCTTCAGCCAATTGCAAGGCCTGTGTCAATGCAATCAATTCTGCCTTCTGTGCTGATGTCCCTTTTGACAATGGCCGTGCCTCTATCCCCTTGTCTATAGTTGTTACCGCATATTCTGCATACCAAATTCCTTCTTTCACATAGCTACTACCATCCATATAATACTGTACATCCGGGTTCTGGATGGGAAAGTCATGAAGGTCCGGTCAGCTTGAAAACACCTCATCCATTATCTCCAAACAATCATGTTGACTTTCAATAGGTTGTGGCAAAAGGGTAGCTGGATTCAGGGTATTTACAGTCTCAAGGTGTACTCTTGGATTTTCACATAACATGGCTTGATATTTAGTCATTCGGCTATTACTGAACCAATGATTACCTTTGTAATCCAATAGAGTCTGTACTGCATGAGGTACTCGCACGTAGAGTTCCTGTCCCAGTGTCAGCTTGTCAGCTTCTGCTACCAACAGGGCAGCGGCGGCCTCTGCTCGCAGACAAGGTGGAAGACCACTAGCCACTGCATCCAACTGTTTGGACATGTACACGACAGGTCGTTGCCATGATCCCAAATACTGAGTTAGTACTCCCACAGCCATTCTTCTTTGCTCATGTACATACAGATAGAATGGACGTGTATGATCAAGTAGACCTAGGGCTGGGGCACTCATTAGTGCTTTCTTGATATCCTCAAATGCCTTCTGCTGTTCAGTGGTCCATAAGAAGGGGTCATGTTCTGTGCCTTTTATAGCTCCATATAAGGGTTTCGCCAATATTGCGTAATTAGGAATCCATATCCTCCAGAATCCTGCTGCTCCTAAGAATTCTCGCACCTGTCTTTTCTTAGGTATCGGTATCTGACATACCGCTTCTTTCCTTTCAGGTCCCATTATCTTTTGACCTTCAGAGATATGGAATCCTAAATACTTGACAGTTGACTGGCAAAATTGCGCTTTCTTCCTAGATACTTTGTATCCTGCCTTCCAGAGAATTTGAAGTAGATCATAGTTGCTTGTTGGCATATCTCTTTATTAACTGCCGCTATCAACAAATTAACCACATACTGAAGTAATACACATTCTCCTGGGATGGACTTGAAATCTTGCAGGTCCTGGCTTAATGTGGATCCAAATAGGTTGGGTGAATTCTTGAACCCTTGAGGTAATCTAGTCCAAGTCATCTGTCGCTTTGAACCCGTAAC